GTTTGATCTTCTTGCAGTCCATGGGACTCTCAAGAGTCTCCTCCAGCACCAGAATTCAAAAGCATCCATTCTTCAGCGATCAGCCTTCTTTATGGTCCAGCTCTCACTTCCATACATCACTACTGGGAAAACCATAGCTTTAACTATACGGACCTGCTTTTAAGCATACTAGCTTCTAAACAAATGGACGTGAGACGTATAAAAACTGCATTTTTGCATAGCAGAATCTCAAAGAACAGCCCAAAGGTTTCGTCAAGCCAAAGGAAGTTCATCTAGTATGCAGGCTTCAGAAGGGCTTTATGGAATGAAACAAGCTGCAAACACATAGAATGAGAAGTGGCACAGCATGCTCAAACAGCCAGGATATACGCGAGGTCACACAGACAAGTGTTTGTACTCCAAATGCAAAAATTGACAATTTTCTTATGTTTTGGCATTTGTGGACAACTTGATCATTACAACTAAAAATTTCCAAGACAATTTCCAAGTCATGAGGCACTTAGCCAAGGATGTGAAGGTGAAAAATCTTGGGGAAATTTCCTATTACCTAGGTGTCCAAATTGAAAGAAAGGAAGATGGATATTATCTTCTAAGCCAAAAGCAGGTGGTCATTGAATTGCTTGACAGCCTGAATCTGCAAGAAGCCAACCCAGTAACCATACCAAGGATTTCTGACTTCCTAAAGAGTTGAAATGAATCTAAACTCTTACCAGACAACAACCAGTACAGGTCAGCAATAGGGAAACTTTTATACCTGACCATGACAATGAGGAGGAGTTTGGATTTGATATCCCGCTTTATCACTACCCAAAGGAGTCTCAAAAGCGGCTAACATTCTCCTTTCCCTTCCTCCCCCACAACAAACACTCTGTGAGGTGAGTGGGGCTGAGAGACTTCAGAGAAGTGTGACTAGCCCAAGGTCACCCAGCAGCTGCATGTGGAGGAGTGGAGACGCGAACCCGGTTCCCCAGATTATGAGACTACCACTCTTAACCACTACACCAGTGGGAATCCGGAATAGGAAAGTGAGTTCCGATGGATTGGACTGTTGTGAAGAGGGTTGTCAGATACCTAAAAGAGAAACATGAATTGTAAACTTAAGCTGCCAGCAGATTGCAATCCATAACTAGTAGGTTACACAGATGCTGATTTGGCAGGAGACACTAAGGATTACAAGTCAACAACAGGTGGGTTCCTCTTTTTGTTTGGAAATGATCCATTTCTTGGGGCAGTTATAAAAAGAAATGTAGCTTTGTCTACCACAGAGTTAAGATTATGTAGCTGCAACTGAAGGATGCAGAGAACTAGCCTGAATCAGCCAACTGACTATGGACTTGGGTTTGGGACTGAAGAAGCCTATTTGATTTGAAGACAACCAGAGCTGTTTTAAGCTGTCGTAGAGCATGAAATTCTACATGAGAACCAAGCACATTAGTGTTGAGTAGCGCTGTGTGTGCAACATGATAAAATGGATTTGTTGAATTGGCCTATTGCCAAACCAAGGAGATGACAGTGGACATTCTTACCAACCCTTACCGAGCTACCGAGAGGCAGCTTTGAGAACTTTCGAGTCAAGACTCTGGGTGGTTTAACAAAATTGTGCATGCAATTGTTAAATTTTCCTGAGAAGGGGTTTGTTTGTAGGAGTTTTTGCAATCAGACAAAACAATGCATATCTGTTCTAGTCGGTAAAGGGACATGGAATTTTATGCTTGCTGCTGGGGCTTCAGTTTCTTCATAAGGAATTGATGGTTCTCCCAATGCTGGCTTCAGTTTGTGCCCACCTACCCTTTGCACATGGGTAAGGTAAAGGTACCCCTGCCCGTACGGGCCAATCGTGTCCGACTCTAGGGTTGTGCGCCCATCTCGCTTAAGAGGCCGGGGGCCAGCGCTGTCCGAGGACACTTCCGGGTCACGTGGCCAGCGTGACAAGCTGCATCTGGTGAGCCAGCGCAGCACACGGAAACACCGTTTACCTTCCTGCTAGTAAGCGGTCCCTATTTATCTACTTGCACCCGGGGGTGCTTTCGAACTGCTAGGTTGGCAGGCGCTGGGACCGAGCAACGGGAGCGCACCCTGCCATGGGGATTCGAACCACCGACCTGACGATCGGCAAGTCCTAGGTTTTACCCACAGCGCCACCCGCAATAGCACATGGGTAAACACTATTTAAAAACCAAAGTTTCACAGTGAAAGTGTGTTGTTGTGGGGGCATGAGAACTTTCCTGATTTCCCCTGCTGTCGGACAATGGAGTGTGTCTCCCTAGCAGTGCACAGTCCTGCTCTGCAGTGAACTTATAAGGAGACTTGGTCTCTGTTTAATCCTTTGTCCCTCGGTGCTGGTTTTGCTACCAGAAGCCTTGAGGTGCCCTTCTGGAGAGAGAATCCTGCTGAAGGAGCAGGAGACAGCTGCAAGGAAGTGGGGGAGGAACGTCTGTCTCCTTATGCACCTCTGTCTCTTCCATCCCATCCCCCAAAACCCTTTTCAAAGGACGTTTGGCAACTGGTGCATTTGGGTGATACAGATCCCTTTGGGGAAGGGAAAATAGCAACAAATGTGACTCATAGCTTCACTGTTCTTGTGGGGTGAGCAGTGGTTCCTTTCTCTGCTCTCATTCTCTTGAAATAAATTCATTTTTTTCCTCAAGGACAGAAAGGAAAATCTGCCCCAAACAAGTTCTGTTTCCCTTTGTCTTGCCTCGTTGTGGCATAGCAGGCACTGAAATGGAGGCAAGAACCCTCCTGGATTCCACACCATTTCACTGCCCCGCCACCAAAGTAGTTAACAGGGCTGGCTAATCCATATGAAGTGATCTTGAATAAGCTCACTGCGTGGGAAAAATTAGGATGCCAGGCTAGTTGGGAACACAGAGAGCCAAGACATGATGGTTGTTCCTGATTGATGGTCACAGTACAAGTATAAAGGTAAAGGTAAAGGTACCCCTGCCCGTACGGGCCAGTCTTGACAGACTCTAGGGTTGTGCGCCCATCTCACTCAAGAGGCCAGGGGCCAGCGCTGTCCGCAGACACTTCCGGGTCACGTGGCCAGCGTGACAAGCTGCATCTGGCGAGCCAGCGCAGCACACGGAACGCCGTTTACCTTCTCGCTAGTAAGCGGTCCCTATTTATCTACTTGCACCCGGGGGTGCTTTCGAACTGCTAGGTTGGCAGGCGCTGGGACCGAACGACGGGAGCGCACCCCGCCGCGGGGATTCGAACTGCCGACCTTTCGATCGGCAAGTCCTAGGCGCTGAGGCTTTAACCCACAGCACCACCCGCGTCCCTACAGTACAAGTATATGATCATACAAATGTTGCATTAATGTCCCCTTTCTTAATGTCCTGTTCTCTCCCCAAAACCTACTTCTCTGTCATAACTCCTTCAGAAAACAGCAGCATGTAACCCTTTCTGCATTTCCACCTACCTGTGAACCTCCTTGGCTCCTTCCTCTGAGCGTGATGGATCAAATGCTTTGCAGTGCTGGCCATGCAATTAGCATCAAGTAAATGTTGAATTGATGTTTCCCAAGTCTAATGAGACACTGCCCCTGCTTCAGCCTGCCAGATTGCTCATTCCTCTGTCTCCTCCCTGAAGGCTCATTACTGGATCTGCCCACCCAGCTTCTCCACCCCACCCCCTTTCATGTTTCCCCCCTCCCTTGCTCATCTATCTCCTACAAAACCTACCATGTCCTTTTCCTTCTCCTCCTCCCCACCTCCTCCCCCATATTCTTTATCTGCAGCACATCCTGCGGCCACCATGAACCCTTGATTTTTTCCAATGGTTCCACTGAAATTGGGGGATGTGCCAGCTGCAGCTTTTCATAGGTCTGGCACCAAGAAGTCGTGATAAACTGTTTGCATCCTCTTCCCCACGACTTCACCGTTGGGTGGGGCTACTCCTTAGTTTAAGAAATGTCACATCAATTAGAATCCCATGTTAAGCTGACACACAACTTTACAGGATTTTAAAATTGTATTCTTTCTTAGTTTTCCAATGTGAGTCACTTCAGCTCAATTCAGATCTCAAGGGAAACCATGTTTTCCTCCAGTGTGAATTTCCCCACTGTGTCATTTCGCTGGTGCCATAGCCAGGTGTGTGTGGGGGGGGGCGCTAGCTGGGTTTTTTGCCCCGGGTGATGTCTCCAGTGGAGCACCATTGAGGCTCCCAGCCTGTGTGTGTACACAAATGCACATGCAGGTGTGTGTACATCTTTGACCCGCATGACAATAAAACCTGTTTTTGCCCCAGTTTGGCTCGCTGCCTGTCCATCTCCTTGTGACTGGAATAAAGGAGATTCAACCAAACCACAGCTTCCTGAGGAGCAATGGGTCAGTGCGTCTGGTTGTCAACTAGAAGATTGGTGGTTCAAGCCCACCCCCACCCCCACCCCCACCCCCACCCCACCCCAGGGATAGTTGTGGACAGGATTCCTGCATTGCAGGGGGTGACCATCAGGGTATCTTCCATCTCTACAATTCTTTGAGATTTACACCTGAGCTCAGCTGTGGTTTGTCTAGCTCTAGTTAGTGAGTAAACCAGATCATGAGACCACAGTTTGATCTTGACTTCTCTCTAACCAGAGTTTAAACAAACTGAAGATCCCCAAGTTCAGACGGCATGGGGAACTAGAACTTGTTTAAAATGGTCACCAAGTGTTTCCCATCTCCTTGTAGCTGCAAAAGAGAAGAGGTGTGAACATGTGAACCCGAGGCTCACTGCAGCTCGTTCACATAGGGGGGAACGGGCTTTCTGTTACATCTGAACCCAGGACTTTGAGTAGTTGCGTGGTGAATGAGACAGATAAGTCTTGTAAATCGAATCAGTTGGATGGAGTTGCATTTTCTCCATGGCAAAAGGGAATGAACTGTAAAGCAAAGGGGGCTTGATATGTGATCATCAGAGGTTGACTTTTCTATTTAATTGCTTTCCAGACTCTCTGGATGATGAGCAAGCTCTACTCAGTAGTAATTTGTATTCCCCCCCCCCTCTTCTTGCAGTTGGAAAAAGAGAGAGCCACAGTCGCCCCTGGAGAAAGCTCCTCGCTGCAGCCACCTCTGAAATACGAGCAGAAGACCAAGCCTCTGATTCCTGAGATGTGCTTCACCTCAAGTGGCGAAAACACAGAGCCTCTCCCTTCCAACTCCTACATCGGAGAGGATGGAAGCAGCCCCTTGATTTCCTGTGCCAAGTGCTGCCTGCAGGTCCATGCCAGTAAGTCTACGCTGAGATTCTCTGTATTTCCTTTCTTTTTGGTGGCATCAGAACTTCCGTCGGTCCTTCCCCCTCTGCCTTGCAGCATTGCATTAGACGAAAACACCCTCCACCTGTTGCTGCAGCACAGGTTGCCTGGTAAGAACAGCCACCTGAGAGCATCCCTGGGAGGGATGTAGATTTCCAAGGAGGTCTGTGTGTGCTTACAACTAGAACTGCCTTTCTCTGGGTTTCATTGTCTCCTCCCTCAACCACCACAAAGCACAGAGGCATCGAAAGCTGCCTTAGATCAGGTTTGTCCACATAGCCCAGGTTGGTCCACCGTGGCTGGCAGAGAGGTCTGTGTCTTGCAGACACAGAGAGGTCTTGTTTGCTGTAATGCAAGGGGGTTGGACTAGAAGACCCTTGGGATCCCTTCCAACTGTACAATTCTGTGCTTGCACTTTCTACCTGATATTTCCAAATGGAGATGCCAGGAACCAGCCCTGTGATCTTCTGCCTGCAGAGCAAGTGCTCTGCCACTTATGCTATGCTCCTTCTTCCATCCTGTAACTTAATGTCACTCTTTTGTCTTCAACTGATTGTCCTTCATCTTTCTGACCTCTGGTTAAATGTTCGTCAACTATGAGCATTTCTCCCACTGCTGCCTTGTTTCTTCTCTGTGAATTTGGCTCAATTATTTCTTGAAGCTATACCCTGCCACCCCACACCTGTCTGCTCAGGCTGGAAGTCAGTGAACACAAGCAGCATTTCACAGACTCTGTTTCATGTTCTTTGGGAGCCTCATGACTCCTGAGACATGAATCTATTAGCATTGTTGTTGCTGCTGTTGTTATTATTAATACCCCACCCATCTGGCTGGGTTTCCCCAGTCACTCTGGTTGCCTTCAGATGTCTTCTAAAAGTCAGATAGTGGTTTATTTCCTTGACATCTGGTGGGAGGGCCACAGGGCAGGCGCCACTGCTGAGAAGGCCCTCTGCCTGGTTCCCTGTAACCTCACTTATTGCAGTGAGGGAACCGCCAGAAGGCCCTCAGTGCTGGACCTCAGTGTCCGGGCTGAATGATTGGGGTGGAGACGCTCCTTCAGGTATACTGGGCCAAGGCCATTTAGAGCTTTGAATTGTGCTCGGAAACGTACTGTGAGCCAGTGTAGGTCTTTCAGTGTAGGTCCTCAGTGTAGGCCAGGTCCGGTGTTATGTGGTCTCAGTGGCCACTGCCAGTCACCAGTCTAGCTGCCACATTCTGGATTAGTTGTAGTTTCCGGGTCACCTTCCAAGGTAGCCCCACGTAGAGCTCATTGCAGTAGTCCAAGCGGGAGATAACCAGAGTGTGCACCACTCTGGCGAGACAGTCTGTGGGCAGGTGGGGTCTCAGCCTGCGTACCAGATGGAGCTGGTAGACAGCTGCCCTGGACACAGCTCCATGGACAGCTGTGAGTCCAAAATGACTCCCAGGCTGCACACCTGGTCCTTCAGGGGCACAATTACCTCATTCAGAACCAGGGGTCGTCCCCCCACACCTGCCCACCCCCTGTCCCCTCAAAATAATACTTTTGTCTTGTCAGGATTCAACCTCAATCTGTTAGCCACCATCCATCCTCCAAAAACCTCCAGACAATCCATTAATGTGCCTGTTCCTTGAATCACAAGTATAACACAGACTGACATCTTTGGGGATAGCTATCCATGTTTTGGCCAGTTTGTGTTTAAACAGTAGGACGCAAACTTTTCAGTCCAGCAGGATTGTTTTGCATGAGTTTTGGGCCACTTTTCTCTCTTGCTCTTTGTTTCCCACTGGGACCTGCATGGAGGGCATGTGCCCCTGCCCCGGAGCTGTGGCCTAATAAAATTTGTTCCTCTTTAAGATGTTATTCCTGAAGTTGCCATTGGTCTGCTTCCCCTTCCCTTCTGAGCTCTTTTTGGGCAAGTGGGAAGAGAATGGAGATGTGAGTTTTGGGAGAACGGAATGCCTTTAAGGAGCGTCTTCGGACACGAGCAGACACTTAAGGGTTTTTAATTTTACGGAGATTATTAAATGAGGAGGGAAGGGGTGGGTGTGCCACATAGACACCTTACTCACGTATTCTGTTCTGAACGTTATCAGAGTGGGGCTTGTAGCGTCTTTCCCAGGGTGTCCTCCGCCTGCTGGGTATGGATTTCTTCCTCTCTGGCTTATCCTTCTAATAACCCTTGTGAGGAACAGACTCTGGTGCTTATAAGTATATGCAAACAGTCCTTCACAAGAAACCTTGAGGGCATCTTCCAACAGAGATGCCAAAGCAAAATACTTGAGCAATAGGAAGCAGCTGCAGTTCCCATTTGAAAGCAAACCCCCAAGAGAAAAAGAAGCCAGGTCCAAGCCTCTCTGCCTCACCCCAAGCAAGGGTTGGGAATGCCACCTGCCATAAACCAAAGGGCTTTTTTATAATTTGTTTCAGATGCTCAAGCCTCCCCTCTGATGTTTTCTGTTTATAGATGGGCTCCTGGCAAGACAGTATCTATTAGAGGAGAGTCCATTATTTTATTGGGTCTTTCCCCCCCCTCTGACACATCCGTTATAGGCCGGCCTCCTTCAAAGCATTCAGCCTGAGCAGAATGGTTAATTTGGAGGGCAGAGAAGGTCTAGGAAGGACAAGGGAAAGTTTCTGAAACATCTCTTTTTTATTAAAGATTTCTTAGTTTTCAAAAATATGCGCATTGTCTCTTTTTTCAAGTTGTGTTTTCTGTGATCAGTTTCCTTCGTTGTGAGACATTAGTGTTGCATGCAGGATTAGGTTGGGAAGGAAAGAGGGGGAGGGTGAAATGGCGAGTGGGGTGAGAATGCTTCTATTTTTCTACTTAGTGTATGTGTGGGGTTTTGTGTCAGCATCACTTGTCTGCATTCTCTTACTATTTGCTTGTTATATTTCCTTGGTGGTGAGAGAGGTTGGGGATGGCCAAGGGTGTGGTTGGTTGTCTTTGGTTGGCTGTAGTGAGATTTGTTTACGTGTGTTAGTGTGGGGTGTATGTGTGGATTTTTGGATCAGGTTAGCAAGGTTGATTCCTCCTGTGCTGCTCCCTCCCCATGAATCCACAGTATATACAGTCCCTGCATCTGTACACACCCCACCAGAGTCACAAGAGACATATTCTATACCAGCCCATGGCTCTCCAGAAGGGACTGTATGGGAAGGAGATATGTCTGCCTTGCCGTAACTCAGAACAGGAGCACTTTGCACTGCGGCATTTTGTTGCAGGTTTCACCGGTTTTACTAGTTCCATAAGAGAGATCTGAACTCAGTATATAAAATGCAGTTATTTGTCATACTTTGAAATGTTCAAGAATGGTCACAATCCATCTAATCTAGCCAGGCTCTTTTTTCCCATACCTTGTAAGAAGCAGAGCTTGAAAACCACACTGTGGTTGTTGCAGACACTCCCCCCCCCGCCCCACACAATCAATACTTCCTTATTGTCTCTCTCCCTCTGTTTGCATTTTGTTTTTAGTTTGCATCTTTCAGAAAATTCATCTGCTCTTCCAAAAGACCTATTCTTCCATCCTCTCCCCAAATACAGAAGCATATTTTTCTGTGCTCTCTTGAAGCAAGAAATCGATGTTGAAATTTCACAGTCTCTTCACACAGCTCTTTTGGACTCCATAAATATTTTAATTAAAGACAACAGTTTCCATTTTGCTTTCCTGATCAGCTTTCTGAAGGTGCGACAACCGAGGTCTTTCCTTTTCACAAGGTCTAGATTAAATCTTCTGCCTCCCCTGCCCTGGGGTGTGTGTGTGTGTGTGTGTGTGTGTGTGTGTGTGTAGGAGAGAGAGACAGAGAGAGAGAGAGAGAGAGACTTCAAGGAGACTATGGGCTTTACATTATTGACTTAACCACTGCCCCATCCTTTCCCTTATGGGGATTATATCTGCCTCTGTTAAGTAGCTGCCTTTTATGTAACTCTAAAGGCTTCAGCATTACCTGAAGGTTTATTCTCTCCCCACCACCGAGATTGTAGAAATAAAGTATTAAAGCTCCTCACCCAAATATCCTGTTGAAAGAGAGAGAGTGGCCGTGCCTTACTTGGAGCCTTTCACTTTGCTTTGGCCCTTCTCCTAGAGTTAAATCATGTAGAACCAGAGTGGGGAACCAGCAGCATCGGAAAGCCATGCAGACTTGTCTGTTAGCCATGGAGACTGAGGCTGAAGGGCCACTGGATCAGTGGCAGAGTTAGCCGCATGGACGCCCGAAGCTGTGGCCATGCCGTGCACCCGGGGCGAGCTATGGAGGGGGGGGCGGTGCAAGCCCCCCGCGTTGTGCTTTTTTGACACCCCCCTCGGAGATGACACCCAGGGTCGGCCGCCCCCACCTTCCTACACCCCTGCACTGGATTCCCCACCCCTGATGTAAAGCGGGTGTTTTAGCTCATTGTGTGCACAGGGTCGAAGGGCCTGCCTCCTCTTTTATATATTAATTATGAAATGCCCTTGTAAATTTCTTTTCTGTCCATCTGAAGTGCAGAGATGTGCGTAGAGCACCAGTGGTGGCTGCTTCTCAGCTGCAGAACTCTCCTATCCCGAGGGAGGGCCAATGCCCTAGCTTTTGAGCTTCCTGCAAAAGCGTTGTGAAGTGTTTTTTTTATTTGGGCTAGCATTTAGAGGGGAAGATTTTGGATGGTAGGGAGGAGAGAAGGCATAGTATTCATCTTTTGTCTGTTTTTATTAGGTGTGTTATTCATAGCTTGTTCTGAGCACCAGAAATGAGTGAGCTAGGCATGCGGATAATTCATTAGCTGAGCTTTGTGCACAAGATGGTTTTCCCTTCCTCTCTCTGAGCCTCTGGTTTTACTAAGATGGTTTCCTGCATTACTCCCATGGCATCAATTCTGCTCCTCGAAGAGCCAAAATGTGAAATATGTGCCTGGATTTTTAGTGTTGCTTTCTATTTATTTCAACCTGATGCTTTTCTATTTGTCACAGGTTGCTATGGGATACATCCTGACATAGTGAATGAAGGCTGGACCTGTTCCCGGTGCTCAGCCAATGCATTGCTAGCGGTAAGTCAAGCCTTTTTGGAGGTGGCCAAAAGGACATTGGGGCAAGGCTATAATGTGCACATCCCAAATTAGGGTTCAAGCTTAACTTCATAACCATGTGGGCTATAAACATACTGCTTGCTTGTTTTGTTTTAAAAGATTTCCCAGATGCTACAGCAATAGACATGCCCCTAGTATGAAACGTTTGGACTCTTCCTTGAAATGCCTTTTTTCTTCTTTAATTGCTAACCTATTTTTTTTCAATATTGTGCCTGTAGGATTGCTGTCTTTGTAATCTCAGGGGAGGAGCCCTTCAAAGGACCACAGATGGAAGGTATATAGAATACCAAAAAAATAAATAATATAAAATGAAATAATTTGCATGCCTCGGAATCCACCAGGATTTTATAAGTTTATAACAAGAGGATCCTCAAAATCCCATTGCTATGGCTACCTTTCTAGCTGGACTTGGATTTGTTATTTCCATGTGCAAAGTCTCTTGGGTGGCTTAGGCTACCTTAATCTGTGTGAGGCGCCCCCCCCCCCATGCCTTTTTAACTCTTCAGGGAGATTTTGCAGCTAAGCTTTCTGTTTAAGATTTCTGTTTTGCATTTTTATTTTTAAGTTAGTGGCGCTGTGGCTTAGCAGTGGCAGGGCCATTTTCTTCCTTCCCCGGGGACGATGGGGAGGGGTTAAGTAGGGGAAAGGGCCATTCTCCAGAACTAGGCTGGGGGAGCTGTGGCCCTCTGTATGTTCTTGAATGATAATTCTCGTCTTCCCTGAGCGTTGGCCGCGCAGGCTGAGGCTGGGAGTTGGGAGTCCGACAGCATATGCAGGGCCTCATGTTCCCTATTTCATGCTTTAGAGACTTCTCCCAAAACTTTGAGAAATAAATGTTGCAGGCATTCAACTAGTGAGTTCTGAAGTGAGACAGGCTGAGGCACAACACACCCCCTTTCTATTGCGAGGTGTGCCAGAATTGTTGCTTCTGTAATAAGTGCTCCTAGATAACTGGAGAGTCGATTAGTCCAGTTTCATTGCTGCCAAGTTAGCTTTCTGCCAGGGACCAGCAACTGCTAGCCTGTGGGCCACGTGCTCCGTGGACCATGAGTAGAGTAGCTTTTCATTATTATTATTTTCGTTGTTTTGCAGGTGGGTCCATGTAATCTGTGCAATCGCTGTCCCTGAAGCCCGCTTCCTCAATGTCATTGAGCGCCACCCTGTAGACATCACTGCCGTTTTGGAGCAAAGGTGGAAACTGGTAAGGACCCATCAAAATGGGTAGGAAAAAGGAGGGACATGACTTGAAAAGTGACGCAGGGTGTCAGCCTCCCGAGAGCTCTGGCAGACTTTGGCTTGGAGGTTAGGAGAGGCTCTGTTACGCTGTCGAGTTTCTCCCTCCCCCTACAAAGGGGGCTTTGGTTCATGCTGTGGAGGTAAAATGCCTTCATTATTCAGGCCAGAGTGACGGCTCTGAATTGATACACAAGCGATAAATTGTGTGGAGCCAGCTCCTTTATGGATAACCTGACATTTCCAGCTCGCCGTCCTCTTCATTACCCACGCTTGTAACAGCAAATTAAAAATCCTTTTTTTACATGGGACTTGCTTGTACTGCTTAATGGGCCTCCCCAGAGAAATCTGTTAAGTCCTCTGCAGCTGCCATGAGGCTTTACGGCTTGTCCCATCCCTTTGTCTGCTCTGCATTTCCTTGCTCTTTTGAATAGCAGTTTCACAGGATGCGTTTGGTCTGGAGTTTCTGCCTTTTTATTTTATTTTGCATGACCCATGTCACTAGCCCTTGTTTTTTCAGGAACCGCATGCACTGGCCCATATGCAAGTTTTAGAATCTAGAGCCTTAGAATGCAAACACGCGCATACACACATAAACACAAATTGGGAGAGTTTCCAGCTGCTCCCAGTAATCCCTTCATTCCTTGGGTGGTGGGATGAGCAGATCTAAAGGGCCGGGCAAATCATGGTATTGAGTCTAACTACGGCACTCCACGTAAGGAGCTGTGCTGAACTGCAGCAAACAGAAATGAAGAGGCACAGTCCTCCACCTTGCTGCAAGAATCTGTTGAAAGAATCCTTAGCTTAATAGTAAAGCACATACTTTGCCTCTAGAGGGTCCCTCGTTCAGTCCTCCATTAAAGGGCTCTTATCAGGGTCTGGGAAGATCTCTGTCTTGGAGAACAGATGGGGTCTGATTAAGGCACATGAAGAAGGCCTCTGATGATGATTGCCGGGTCCAGGTTGGTTCATATGGGGAGAGGAAGTCCTGAAGGTATTGCAGTCCTGAGCCATATAAAGTTTTATAGGTCAAAACCAGCATTTTGAATTCGGCCTGGAAACTGATTGGCAGCCAGTGAAGTCAGGACAGGATTGGCATTATATGCTCAAACCGTCTTGCCCCGGTGAGCAACTTGGCCAATGAATTCTGCAGCGGCTGAAGATTCCTTCACAGGCAGCCCCATGTATAATGCATTGCAGTAATCTAGCCTAGCATTTGAGTTCTTGTTCAGATTGTGCAGCTCCTCGTGCCATAAAGAGAGAAATAGCTCCCCCCCCTTTTTTTGCAATGAAATCTTGAGTGGGTTAAATAGACCGGGCTTGAATTAGTCTCAGTGGGAAAGCGAATCAGGCAAGACATCTTGCAGAAGACGAGCCCCCTGCCGCAGTTAACTAGCTTAAAAGCTAGAAACCAAGCACCCAAATCCACTGCTTGTTCTCCTTTGCACATTTCACCATGCAGTGACAGGAGGTCTTTTAAGGAAACACCCAGGCACAACTGTTTAGCTGCTTCAGGGGGAAAAAGTTCTGTGAGCTGGGTCTTGCTTCGAAGAAGGAGCAGATGATGATATAAAGGTCAATGAGGCTTGGGATCTTATGTGGCAGAACAAAGAATTGGGGAGAGGGCAGAAAGAGCATATTGCGATAATAAAGGCTTAAGCAGACAGCTATCTTGAGTTTAGAAAAGACAGGTTTTCTGTCTTCCCTCCATGGAGTGTCACCTGGGACTAGGCCTGTTGTTTCCAGAATAAAGGCTGAAAGCTAGAGGATTTGCCCAGGACTACCCAAAGACTCCATAGCTGAGCAAGGAGATGAGGCCTGGTCCCCCTGTTCAAACTCTCAACACTGCAGGTTGGGCTCAGTTGTAACTGCCAAGGGCAGGGTAGGGTATGTCCACGAACCCCGTGCTTCTGCATTCACCCTGTGCCATACCTTCAAGTTTTTCATCTGATCCGATATCTACATCCTCAAAGCAGTGATACGTGGAACATCGTAAGATAAGCATACCACATGGTGGTTATTGCCAGTATGCCAGTTTAGGAACCGAATGGACTTTATCTCCTGACCATCTATTGGACTTTAATTTCTCTTGATATGTTCTGTTTGCGTGATGTGTTGGTCTGTGGGATTACACGTTGTGAGATATTATAGGTTGGATTGTGTTTGAAATAGAAGTTACATAGTCGAAACGGCCTGCCACATTGTGTGTGTTGTTACCAGGAGTGTAGAATTTGGCATATGATTAGCAGCTGTTCTTCCCTCTCCTTCCATGGGGGATTTTAAGCAGAGGTTGGATGGCCATCTGTCACAGATGCTTTAGCTGAGTTTGCTGCATTGCAGAGGGTTGGATTAGATGGCACATGGGGTCCCTTCCAACTCTTCAGTTCTGTGATTCCAAAGGGCCACTTTGATAAGACACACACACACACAGCCTGCTGCCAAGGTTCCATTGACCTCATCACTGTTCTTAGCGCTGGGGGACCAGATTTGGCCCCAGAGTTTCTAGTTGCTGACCCCTTGACTAATATTTGATTTTGATGCTGTGTAATAAATGCTGATATGGCACAGTGAAGGAAGACAGCTGTCTTCACCTTTCTATTTCTGTTTGATTCACAAATTTTGTTAGGTGGGTGGTGGAGGGGGTCCTTCCTTTAGTGGGGAGGGTCCTGAGCTGTGGCCCCACCACACATGTCAGGTATCAAGGCCAAGCTCTCCTTTGTCATAAGTGCAATGTGCCGCTTGGTTTATCAACAACACCATTTGTGTGGCTCCTGATTAATGGGGCTTTGCGGGGCCCGCATCTGTAAATTATTTACGGCACACAGATTCGGAATAATTAGCTGTCATCTTCTCTGTGGAATACATGAAATGTAGCTTCCATCATGAGGCAGACAGGCCATTTCTTACTCTTAGCGATGATGGTGGCGATGATACGATTTTTCAACGTGGCTTTATTTCCGGGATATGTTTGTAGGCGCATGGTTTCTCCTTTGCTCCCTTCATCTCATAACTTTAAAAGATTTCTGCTGCTTCTTCCCTGGTAACATTTTATCTTGCGAGACTGATAATGGCTAAGGGAGATGCTCAGCCTCTTCCTCCTTGTCTGACTTGTCAGGACGCATTTATGGCAGAGTGCGTCTCCTCCTCCCCCTGCTTTGCTGTGTTGTTAACTTAATTTGCTAGAAAATTGGTTTTGAGTTGCGTGGGTTGAGTGACCGGAGGCGATGAGGAGAGGCGGAATGTGGATGGGTGGGTGGTTCTAGATCAGCAAGTTTCAAACGGTGTTTCAGGGAACCCCAGAAGTTTTTCTCAATGAGAAGAAAAGCAGGCAAGCTCACTCCTGGAAAAGAGCTCCTGAGGTCAATGCAAGTGGCATGGTCCAAATAGTATGGTTGCTGAGTTCAGCAGGCAGAGATCCAGAGGCGCACAGTGCGAGTTAGTAGACATTTTCCATAGTGGGAAGATAGCAGGGCTGCAGGAATGGAGGTGGAGGTATCTATTTTAGCAGCATGTCTCACTTGCAAGTTTCTCAGACTGAGGAACTGAGCTTGGAGCAGTAGCCAGGCCCCTACTGGCTCCTCTGGTCTGGATGCACCGAGAAAAGCTACAGTACAGTGTCTGGCCATTCTAGAGGTAACACATTGTTGTGGCACTCCCAAGAGCTGCCCTAGTCTTTCAGAGAACAAGGAGTCTGGGCCTGGCTAACAGTTTGTTCCCCGTTATCCATATTTCCCTACCCAGTGTGACGCAGGTGGCGATGTGGTCTAAACCACCGAGCCTCTTGGGGTTGCTGATCGTAATGATTGGCAGTTCAAATCTGCACGATGGGGTGAGCTCCCGTTGGTCTGTCCCAGCTCCGGCCAACCTAGCAGCTCAAAAGCATAAATAACACTGCGAGTAGATAAATAGGTACCACTATGGCAGGAAGGTAAGCAGAAAATCTGTGCATTCTGCCTTGCACAGCAGTGTCCCATTGCGCCAGAAGCGGTTTAGTCATGCTGGCCACATGACCCAGGAAGCTGTCTGTGGACAAACACTGGCTCCCTCGGCCTGAAACGAGATGAGCACTGTACCCCATAGTCTATTTCCGACTGGACTTAACCGTCCAGGGAACCTTTACCTTTTTCCTACCATGTGTTGGGTACCCCCCCCCACACACTCAATGTGATTCCCACCCCCCTTTTCGTGGTTCCGTGTAAAGTCATTTCCGAAACTGCATCTCCCACTTTACACCTTCTTGGTAGTGGCGCCTGCCCTGTGGAACACCCTCCCTTCAGATGTCAAGGAAATAAACAACTATCTGACTTTTAGAAGACATCTGAAGGCAGCCCTGTTTAGGGAAGTTTTTAATGTTTGATGTTTAATCTTGTTTTTAATATTCTGTTGGGAGCCGCCCATAGTGGCTGGGAAAACCCAGCCAGATGGGCAGGGTGTAAATAAGAAAATTATTGTTGTTATTATTATTATTACTTGGTTACTCTCTAGTTTTCTTTTGTTGTTGTTGTTTAGTCGTTTAGTCGTGTCCGACTCTTCGTGACCCCATGGACCAGAGCACGCCAGGCACTCCTGTCTTCCACCGCCTCCCGCAGTTTGGTTAGACTCATGTTTGTAGCTTCGAGAACACTGTCCCACCATCTCATCCTCTGTCTTCCCCTTCTCCTTCTGCCCTCCATCTTTCCCAGCATCAGGGTCTTTTCCAGGGAGTCTTCTCTTCTCATGAGGTGGCCAAAGTACTGGAGCCTCAGCTTCAGGATCTGCCCTTCCAGTGAGCACTCAGGGCTGATTTCCTTCAGAATGGAGAGGTTTGATCTTCTTGCAGTCCATGGGACTCTCCAGAGTCTCCTCCAGCACCATAATTCAAAAGCATCAATTCTTCGGCGATCAGCCTTCTTTATGGTCCAGCTCTCACTTCCCATCACTACTGGGAAAACCATGGCTTTAACTATACGGTTTTAAGTATAAGTTTTAAGTATAAGTTATAAGTTTTCTTTTAAATTAACCTTTTAAGTGCTTGTTTTTAGATTAATCCTGCTAATGCCGTTTAGATGTTTGCAATCATTTTTGAGATAGTGTTAGATACCTTCTAGCATGTGGTCTTGGCCTTGTCTGACCCAGCTGTTGCACCCTTGAATGCACCCCAGAATTCCCTGCACAGCCCACACCTTCCAGGGTAGACATGTGGAGAGAGTTCCTGGAAGAGAGGCCCTTCCCAGTGCTGGCTCATTTCAGCTTCAACCAGATCTACATTGGAAGCCATTCCAGTTGTCTCTGTCAGCACGGAAAGGTGGCACCGCTTATTGCATTTCAGAAAGGAGGAGGTGGGCTGGACCTTTGGGTTTTGCACCGCCCGGCCTTCGTTTGCCCCTAAGCCAGCCTTTGCCGCAACTTGAGATGTAGTTGCTCTTAATAATCTCTGCCTTTCTATCACTGTGCAAGGTCTGTTCAAATGCCAGAGTGACAGCTAGTGGTCAGATGTTTGAGAATGACAGGCATGATGGAATCATCTGTCCACTAGCTGTATTGAAAGGTATTGAAGCAGTATAAGGAATGTTGGATTGTTTCTTACAATAGCGGGAGGAAAGAAGTCATAGTTCAAGAAGAAATTGGACAAGTTGACTAAATTTGGGGGGTAAATTATTTTGATGTAGCTATAGGGTGGAACTTTTGAGTTTTTCGAGGAACAATTAGTACATGAAATAAATCTGCTACAGTGGCTGACATGCTATATGAGTAATGTTTTTAGTGGTTGATATATTTTTGTGTATGTTCCTGTATTGGCCTTGATGTCGGGAATCAAGCCTTTATCAGGAGAAACTGGCAGCTCTCCCATGCACCCGGCTTGATCTCCTGTTGACCTCCCTGTCTGCTTTTCCGGCAAGATCCAGGCAGAGGTCGCGATAGGCGATCCTTCTCAGCGTGAGAAGGACACACACACTCTTTCCTGCCCCCCCTGGCAGGGGAAAGAGATAGACAGAAACGTATTTACATGCCTCTATTTCTGTCTTTGCAGCGTTACAAAAAACATGACTGCTCTCTTCAAATTCCGGCAGTCGAAAGAGAAACTCCTCCTGTACTTCCTTTACAGCTCATATTACACTCTGAGCTAATCCCGGTGCTTCGCACTGTGAATAGACTGTCCCTCTGTTTCCCACGGAACAGTCCCAACATTCCCATTATGTTTTCCTTTCAAGCTACCAGCAGCTCGCGGGTGCATTGCTTCTATATCGTAACAGTTTTGACGTATTTTCATTTGTGCACATTTTGATACTTCAGTGTTGAAAACAAACACAAAATGCCAGGGTTGGGGGCCTGTTGTGAAGTGTGTGATCAAGTCAGCTAGTCAATACCAATGAAATCTCATTATTAAATTGCCAATACCCAAATCCCTCCCTGATTAGAACCAAGTGCTGATATATGACATGCCCTATAATGGCACCTGAAGGGAATCTTCAGCTTTTCTCAGCTCAGACTGCAACAATGCAAACCCAACACTCTGGCTAATAACTGTTAGTAAATATATAATCGGTATAATGTCATTCAAAATATACGAATAAGCCACTTCAAAATAATGTATATATCATACAACACATCTCACAAAATATACAAGTAACTGCAAGTTGTTATATGTATCAGAGTCAAACAAAGGTTCAAACAACCAATGAATAGCGATGAATTCCAAACTGTCTCTCAAAGGAAGACGTCTCTCCAAAGTCTCAAAAGGACAGTGCATCTGGAATAGTTCAACTGTTTCGGAATAAAGTCTTCATCAGCTAGAAATGGAATAGCAAGCAATGAATGACAACAAAACTGAGCAACCTGTATGTAAGATGTACAGTAGAACAAAATATATAAAGAGGTACATACCGAATAATTATCAATGAAATATGCATACTAGTGAAGATCATACTAGTGGATTCAGTGCTCATTGGATAATGTAGCTGCTGATGCTCACGACACAAACGCAGAGAACATACAGAGTTGACCACAAGTGTTTCACATCACAATTGTTGCAGACAATTTAAAGAAACTTAAAGCAACAGTACGTCAATTCTGGCATTACAATGCAAAGACGACAATGTAAAACGACAGGCTTGAAATAGAGCAGATTTGGATAGTATACAACGGATTTTACATAAAACAACATTCACATAAAACAATTGAAGTCGAGTTCTGAATTCAGTCCCCCTCAGATATGTGGATTTAAACAAATAAATTAAACGGGTTTCTTGTTGACGCAATAACCGCTCAACGTCTTGCCCAACCCCTCGTGTACGTATCTTCCTCTGGGCTGGCAATTCACGGATGAAGGCAGGGGACAAGCATCACCCTTCCAGTAAACCCAGCTATATAATACTTGAATTGCAAAGTGGGGCTGAAAGAGCAGGGCCTCTCATAAGTTTACCTCATGGCTGACGTGAAATGTGGCCTAGCCCACACCCTAACAGCAGTTTCATCTGCAAAGCAAATTGTTCCAAGAGATTCGAGCACGTGAGCCAAGCTGCAGGTGGAGGCACAAGCATCAAGTTAGAATTGCCAGAAATGTCCGTGGTGATGGGTAGCTCTGTGCCATGCAGTAACACCAACCTTTATTCCTTCCCCAGAAATGTGTGTACTGCCGGAGGTGGATGAAGAAAGTGTCAGGCGCCTGCATCCAGTGCTCTTATGAGCACTGTTCCACCTCTTTCCACGTCACCTGCGCCCACGCAGCAGGGGTGCCAATCGAGCCAGATGATTGGCCTTATGCTGTGTCCATCACCTGCTTCAAACACAAAGCGGCCAGCCACATGGTAGGTCGTCTCAGTGGTTTATCTCTCTTCCTTCACTCCTCTCTCTCGTTTTAAAGAAGCCTAATCTCGTTGCTGTTTTTAATCTGCCGTTCGTAGATCCCATTTTCAAGGGAGGTATCGCTGGCCCAGACGGTGATTACAAAGAACCGGAACGGTCTCTACTACCGGTGCAAAGTGATTGGCGTGACAACGCAAACCTTCTACGAAGTCAATTTCGAGGATGGCTCCTACAGCGACAACATTTACCCAGAGAACATTATTGTAAGTTAGCATAGGTTTCAGGTGGAAAAATATTCTATAGGTCTCTTTGCCATTCTGGAGGGTGTGTACTACTTTTCTGCTTACATGCCCATGAGTCTTGTTTCTATTATTGCTAAAATAAGAATTCTGTCTTCTTGAGTTAGATTTAAAGAAACAAAACAGAAAAGATAGTTTGAGCTGAAGATCTAGATCTAGTATGGAATTTATGAATGGCAGAAAAAAAAATTTAATTGCTTCTGTTGTACCATCTGAGGAAGAGTGGCTTCACAAGGTTCGCTGGTAAAACTTGCAAGATATGTGTATTTACGAGATCAAGAAGTTTGTGATAAAAGATGGTTCAGTTTATTTATTATATACAGTCGTACCTTGGATCTCGAATGTCTTGGCTCCTGAACAAATCGGCCACTGGACGATCGAAACCCAGAAGTGACTGCTTGGTTTTCAAACGATTTTCGGAAGCCAAACGTCTGGCGCGGCTTCCAATTGGCTGCAGGAGCTTCCTGCAGCTATTCAGAAGCCTTGCTTTGGTTTTCGAACATTTTGGAAGTTGAACGGACTTCTGGAACAGATTCCGTTCGACTTCCAAGGTACGACTCTACATCGGCTTATATAGGGCCTTTTCTACTTCTCTCATAAATGGGGGCCTGTTAGATAAATGAGAGATTAAAATTGATAGAGGTGTGTGTATTCTCTCTTGCTATATATTAAAATTGTAAACCCGTAATCGTGCTGCAGTTTGTGTGGCCACTTCCAGCATGATGACAGAACGGCAGGCAAGCAAACAGCGGAAAGTGGTAGCAAGCTGTTTAAAGTAGGGCGGTGGGCATTTCAGAGTGTGGTTTGGCAAACGGCTTTCTGAAGACCCTCCTCCCTTCTGTTAAACATTGCTTCAGTGGAGAGGTGCTTCAGGTGGGGACGAATGGGGTAGGCGAGGAGGGAGCGGGATGTCAAGAGAGGAGGGATTGGCCCAGGTGTGGGAGAAGGGTTGGCAATGGAGTTGGCAGGTATGCGGGGTTGGCGAGCAGGGATGGCAGCCCCTTGTATCCTATATTTTGTGTATGCAATTATTTTAAAAAAACCAATCTGGGTCAGACTAAAGGCCCATGTAGCACTGCATCCTGTTCTCACACGTGTCTAGTCAGAGGCCTGTGACAAGCCAGCAAGCAGGATCTGCAAAAGCATCAACTCTCCCCCTTGTAGTCATGGGCTTACTGCCTCTCATACTGCAGGAAGTACCGTATTTTTCGTCCCATAGGACGCTCCATCCCATAGGACACACCTAGTTTTTTTGGGGGGGAAATAAAGGGGGGGAATTCCTTTATTTCCCCCCCAAAAGCAGGTCGGGGAAACCGAACCAGGTCGGGGAACAGCAGGATGGCGGCGCTGCGCCTCCCCGCTGTCCCCCGAGCTTGTGGGGCTGACCAATGTCTGCCCGGCGCGAGGGGCGCCCTGCTTTAGGGCGCCCCGCCCGCCGGGCGGCAGGCTGCTATCCGCAGCATGGGAAGCCCTGCGGGGAACTCCTGCAGGGCTCACCACGCTGCGGATGTATGCCCGGCGCGAGGGGCGCTCTGCTTCAGGGCGCCCCGCCCGCCAGGCGGCAGGCTGCTATCCGCAGCCTAGACAGCCCTGCGGGACCTCCCGCAGGGCTGCCTAGGCTGCGGATGTCTTCCTGAATCCTGGAGAGCGAGAGGGGTCGGTGCGCACCGACCCCTCTCGCTCTCCAAGCTTCAGCGAAAGCCTGCATTCGCCCCATCGGACGCACCCAGGTTTCCCCTTCATTTTTGGAGAGGGAAAAGTGCATCCTATAGGGCGAAAAATACGGTATGTAGAGATCATGTCTGGTAGCCTTTATAGCAGCAGTTCTCAACCTGTGGGTCCCCAGATGTTGGACTACAACTCCCATCATCCCTGAGCTCTGGCCTTGTTAGCGAGGGGTGATGGGAGTTGTAGTCCAACAACATCTGGGGACCCACAGGTTGAGAAAGGCTGATTTATAGCCTTATTATTTGTGCTTGAAAATCCTGTAAAACGTGCCTGTGGGTGCTTGCCTGATCCAGCCCCTTCCCAGACTTCCTTAGTTGAACGTGTTATGGTGCCAGCCATTTCTGCGTGCTCCCCTCCCTCCCACAGTCCCTCTGACTTTCTTCCCTGACTTGCCTCTCAGAGCAGAGACTGCCTCAAGATGGGGCCGCCCGCTGAGGGGGAGATGGTTCAGCTGCAGCTGACGGATGGCATCACTTACCAAGCCAAGTTTATTGCTGCCCAGATCAGCCAGATCTTTCAGGTAAGAGCCCAGCAGTGCCTTGGCCTTGGCCTTCCAGGCTAGATACTTTTACTAGCAGAGAAATGGACTTGCTTCTGGAATTCAAAGATGGACTGGTGACTTCCCTGGAGTGATGTTTCCTGACGTGTGTGCTGCTCCTCCATGTTCTGGGGCGAACCGCGTGTTAGCAAGCCAAGCCCTGTCTTTGCTCCAGCTGGTGGATTCAAACAGGGAAAGCAAAGCTGAGAGGGTTATGCCCTGTAAATTGGAGCCATCTTGATTCACGGCGTCATCATTTCCCAATTGGAAACGCCCCGCTTAAGAGGAATAGCGCATACAACCAAACAGTGAACAGAACGAGAACCCGTTTTCCGGGGCTAAGTAGCCTTGGTTAGGTTTAGAAGGAAGGATGGTTGGCTGGCCCCACGGAGGTTGCGAAATGTAAGCTGGAGGTCAGGTTGTCTGATGGCCACTCTCATTCCCTTCTGTAGGTAGAGTTTGAGGATGGCTCTCAGCTGATGGTCACAAGAGGCAATATCTACACCCTGGAAGAGGAGCTTCCCAGGAGAGTAAAGTCACGCTTGGTGGGTATTTCAGGGCTACTTTTTACAAAGCTGCCTGCTGCTGCTTTGTATTGTTTTCCAGGACAGTTTTTGCTGCAGTGGAGAGAGGTCATGTCTCCTTTCTAGTTACAGTGGTACCTCGGGTTACATACGCTTCAAGTTACAGACTCCCCTAACCCAGAAATAGTACCTCGGGTTAAGAACAGAAATTGCTGCACGCAGCAGCGGGAGGCCCCATTAGCTAACGTGGCGCTTCAGGTTAAGAACAGTTTCAGGTTAAGAACAGACCTCCAGAATGAATTAAGTTCTTAACCCAAGGTACCACTATACTGACTTTGCTAAATCGGTCACCTGTTGGCTAGGGGCAGCCTGAGGCATTTTGGCACCCGAGGAAAAATAATTTATAGTGCCCCAGCCACTCTGGGCAACTTCTAACAAATTATAAAATAATTTCTTGTTGTTGTTATATCACCATCACCATTGCTGCTGCTGCTATCATCATCATCAGTATTATGTGGTGTGAATGGGGCATTCTTCTTCGTCTTACTACTATTATTATTATTACACCACCATATTTGTGACTCTATCCATCCCTTGGAGAAACTGAGTGATCAATATATGGTGTTGTATTCATTCAGAAATCTCTTAAAGTGAAGCTTGGGTCCACAAGGAGATGCTTTCACCAATTGCCCACCTCAGGATTAATTCAAGAGTGTTGGTGTCCAAGGGTCTCCTGCCAGCAAAGCAGTGGCTTTTGTGAAATGTTGTCTCCTCTCGTCTGAAAGGGCGCTTGAGTTCTCTCTGCCTGTGTGCCTTCTGCCTTCCTCTCACACCTGTCCTCCTCCTGTTGCCCTTCTAGTCGCTCAGCACTGGGACGCCTCAGGAAGACGCCGTCCCGGGAGACGACTTGAAAGCAGCCAAGCGCCCTCGGGTGGGCAACACCAAGAGCCCCGAAGACCCTGGCCCCAGCCCCAGCTACTTTGCCATCATGGAGACCCTGCTGCAGGCACCCTTCCAGCCGGGAGCACAGAGCAGCACTATGTTCTAAACCCAGAGGAACAGTTGATTTAAATTTTTTTCTAAAAAAAAAAAAAGACACAACTTTTTAAAACATCCTTTTTCACATCCCTGCGGAAAGTAATTTAACTAGAAAACTGTGGCGTGGGAGACCCAGCCTTTGTGCAATAACTTGCAAATTAATTATTTTATTCTGTTCTTGTTGTGGACTTCAGAGGATCTCGCCCTGCTCTGGCCTACCTCTGTTCTTCCTTTTGACGAACTTTTGAGTAGAAAAAAACCTGGGGGGGGGGCGCGCGTTAACCTTCCGCACAGAAACTTTGGAAGAATATGTGTCAATGGAGGTTTGTGCAACTGAACCTTTGATTCTTTGTTTTTTGTTTGTTTGTTTTCAGTGGTTAAAAACCTGGAGAAGCGTTCACTCCAGTTTTCAAATCTGTTTTTCCCCCCTCCCTTACTCTCTCAATATATATTTTTCTTCTTTCCTGTATTTCTTGAAAAGGTGCTATTTCCCTGACTACTGAAGCCGCCTTTTTGGAATTAGCAATTTATGTGTGTGACACACACACACACACACACACACACACACACACACACTTTTTATAAAAAAGGAAGAAAAAAGCAATTGCATTTTAAAAACAAAACAATGCAAGCAGCAGCAATGTAATGAAAAAGTGAAGTGTTTCTACTCCCCCCCCCCCGAACATGGCTTTAAAACAAATGAACTCCCCCCACCCTCATTCTGATTTTCTTTTAAAAAGAAAGAAAAAGAGTTGATGCCTGGTTTTATTGGAGGGAGGGCAGGTTTTATTGAAACGCCTCTTTTAAGGGGAGAAAATATGTTGGGGTAATGTTTGTGTTGAACAAAGAAAGTTTTCCTTTAGCCGAAATGTTTTATAATAAATGAGAGCATCACAACAGAACTGCTACTGGACAGAATTCAGTGTTAACGCTTTCATAAAAGTCATAAAATAGGTTGCCTGTCGCATCACCACCACTGGGGAATTTTGTGTTGGGCCTTTGGAAAGGTTGCATATTATTTCCCTGGCGTTGCGTAAGCAAGGGATTTCGGTTATGAGGCACAAGTCAATTGGCTGTTCTTTGGCAGGTGATGGAAAGAGGTAGTCAAATGAACTGTTACCACATTGGGCGAGTGAGTGGTGTTGGGGGTGGTCCTGATTCCCTGTGCAGACGAAGTTACGAGCTGCAGGGGTCGTTTAGCAGCAGCGAGACATGACAGCATGTTTTGGGTCATCCTGAACTGGTGACAGCTTGCTTTTGCTCAGTTCCAGCAACTTCATGGCTAAACAAATCAACCCTTTGGGGGGCGGGCGGGGGGAGAGGTTAGCCTGTACTCTGTATACAGGGTTTGCCACATGCTTCAAATGGTCCCCAGTATGATCTGCACCAAAAATAATTTTGCCCTCACTTCACCGTTTTCTGAGAAGCTCTTCCTTGGTTGTGGGTCTGGGAGAGGCCTTCTTCCCATGGCGTTTTCCGCTTCTGGAAACACCCTTTCCTGAGACAAAGGCTTTGAATTTATTGGGGTTTGAGGAACACCAAGACAAGCAAGTTAAAGTTTCCAGCTATATTAGCCTTTGCAGATGTTCAAGCCATATGTGGGAGGTGAGGGGGGGGTCACCCAACTTGCCTTTATGCGTTGGCTTTATCATTTGCACTAGGCGGAGAGCCCGGCATGTTAGAATTTCCACCCAGGTTCTGTTAGTGGTGGCAAACATGGCATCCTGTGTCTTTTAAGTGGCAGTCCTCGTCCCCTCCCACCCCCCTGGGTGTGCATGCATGCCACATGGCTTAGGCAAAGAAGAAAAGGGAGCATTTAAATGGAGGATTCCTCCAGGAGCTTGTAGAATCTTTTCTACAAGATGCATTCCGTAATGGACCCTGCTTTTTACCCTTCCTCACTAATGGCTGCAAATAAGATTGTCTGCCGGGTTAGCGAAGGGGAAGAGAGAGACAGGTAAAGGTGATCTTGGAAGCCCACGAGCTTTCATCTCACATTGTTTCCTTTTTTCCCCCCTCCCCACAACCTTTGCCCCTGGGGGGGGGTTGAAATCAAACCCAAAACTTACCCAAAACAGGATCTTAGCAAGCAGTTACTAAACTTCCTTGCCGTGGAGAATCAGAATGCAGCTGAAACTTTCCTCTGTGTTGTGTCCCCCTGTCTCACCTCAACACACACACACACACTTATTTCAAACCCACCCATGTGTGCAGCGGTTCCCTCCTTGGAAGAAGAAAATGGCATAAAGGGTAGTACTGCTTGTATAAAGGACATTTTTAAAGAACAAACAATTTGTGTTGGCTACTGGGTTGCCATAGTTCAAGTCAGTATTGGGGTGTGTGTGCATGTGTGGGTGGGTGTGTATGTATGTAGCTCCCTCTTTATTTTCTTGATAATCCCTGGGAGGGGAGTGGTGCATTTGTTCAGGACGGGTTGGTTGCAAGAGAAGGGGGCATGGGGGGGTCCACTGTAAGGATAAATGCTGACTGAAATATCACCATTGCTGTATTTATTGTGTATATTTAAATTGTACAAAAAAAGGAAACAAAAATGTTGTTCTCCCCTGCCCCCCCCCAAATATGGTGACCTTTGTTTCTGCTTCTGCCGTGAACCTGGCTTTTGTAGAACATCTTTTCTTTTTGTTGGTGGTTGTTTCTGTTTTATCCCCCATCCACCCCACTTCTTCTTTTTCTAATACACTTACCAGTTTTGGAATGTTTCTGTGATCTCTTTGGGGAAAGGGCCTCCGTAGGAGGAAGCACTAGCAAACCCCCTTCACTTCCTTGCTGACCCTCCCCTGAATTCATATTTGCAAGTGGTCTGTGTGTGATACATCTCTAGTTATCTATCGGGGTTTGCTTACTCTTAAAACAATCTGGTTTGGTTCTCCCCTTCCCCCTCTATAATTAATGATGGGAAACTCAGGGATTTCTTTGGGGGGTGGGGTGGGATGGCCCAGAGTTGTCCCCTCCCTGAAGAGGGAAGATTTCTCTCCAAAATTTTGTGTTTTGTTGCTCCAAACTCAACTATCTTCTAGTCTAAGGCCAAAATGGAGGAGAGGCATCGTGGCTTCTGAAACTGAAGGTTAGAAATAGCCATCAAACCCTAGTTGATGCACCTGCCTGGATGTGTCCCAGCCCCATTGGAAGCCATCTGAACTGTTGGCCATCTCCACATCTTGCAACAGTGGAATGTGTCATTACTCCCATTTGTCTGCCCTGAATACCCCACTTATCATTTTTCTTGGACGGTCCCCGAATTCTAGCACAGCGAAGGCGGGAGAAATTCATCTGCCCCCTCCACGTTGCCTTACCTGTGCATCATCATCATATAATTCTCATCGCACTCCTCCTTAGTCACTTCTAAACTGAAAAGCCCCCAGTGTAGTTGCCTGTTCCCACTGGGAAAGTATCTCAACCTTCTTGCTAGTGTTTGCTTTCCCTTTCCAGCTGCTGTGATGTCCCTCTTGAGACTGGGCAACCCAGACCTGGCCTTAGAAATGTGGCTGTGCCACATATCCTAGCTGTTGGATGTCTCTTGTCTCCTCCAACCATGACCCCTGAGTCCTCTGGACCTTGGAAGTTTTTTACGGGGAGACTCTCCTCGGGGGGTGGGGCATTTTCCAAACTTGGGAGGATCTCTTCAGACCTCAGGGTTCGGAGTTGATGACTCCATCCAGCCACCTGTCGAAATTCTCTGCTCCTCTTGGAGAAGGCAGAGGGCGCAACATAAGGCTGTTTGACAACTCCACGGTGTACCAAACCAAGATTGCCCAGCATAAATTCTCTATGTTGCCTGCCATCATCTGCACCCTGCTAGGAGGATGACAAACACTCAGTTAAGCCCTGGGCTTGGAAGGCTCAGGCAGCATCTCTAGGCAGGTTTGGGAATGTCTTCTGCCTGAAACCCTGGAGAGTCACCGCTAGTCAGTAGAGGCAATACTGCGCTTAAATGGACCCAACTCTGTATAAGGCACCCTGGGCCTACATGGGACGCGGGTGGCGCTGTAGTCTAAACCACTGAGCCTCTTGGGTTGCCGATCAGAAGGTCAGCGGTTCGAATCCCTGCGACGGGGTGAGCTCCCGTTGCTCTGTCCTAGCTCCTGCCAACCTAGCGGTTCAAAAGCACGCCAGTGCAAGTAGATAAATAGGTACCACTCCGGCAGGAAGGTAAATGGCGTTTCCGTGCACTCTGGTTTCCGTCATGGTGTCCCGTTGCGCCAGAAGTGGTTTAGTCATGCTGGCCACATGACCCGGAAAACTGTCTGTGGACCAACGCCGTCTCCCTTGGCCTGAAAGCAAGATGAGCGCCGCAACCCCATAATCACCTTTGACTGGACTTAACTGTCCAGGGGTCTTTTACCTTTTACCTTTACCCTGGGCTCCTGTGATATTGTCAGGTTGTGTGTCACTCGTTTCTCTGGGAGCTGTGCCAAGCCATGAGCAGTCTGGCTTCCTTGTGATACTGTGTTGTGGTTAGCAGAGGGTCCCCACACCCTTTTCTCAGATGAGAAAAACATATATTTAAAGCAGGTGCACAAATCCTCATAGTGATAACGTACATCATCTTAATACACAGTACAACAACTCTCCAAAGGGAGGTCGGTGCTAGCCCTAAATACGGACAGCAAGTGGCTAGGTGGACTTGCCAGTTCTCCCCACCACCCTTAACCAACCCCTCACACTGCTTTCTAAAGTCGTCTTTGTTGGCTTTGTATTTTCCTCTTCTCTTTTTTTTGGGGGGGGGGAGAGGAGAGGGAGACCCACAAAATCTCTTACACAAGCAACGCCTCTGCCAAGGTGTTGTGTCTCCCACAGGCCTGGGTGGTAGTGGGGCATCATTTCCAGCCTGTCTGCACACCTTGTCAGGCTGCAGCTCCTCCTAAAGCACGTCTATTTACTGCCATAATCGGAAGCCCCTAAAAGGGAGAGAACGAAAGCCACCCACTATTAAATATAATTGTCATTGTGACAGGCCCATTGTGGGGCGGAAAATTTGTGCCTTTCAGAGCTGTCTGTGTGATAAAGAGCAGCGGTAAAATCAGAAATTAATCCCCTGGCAAGAGAATGACATGGTTATCGCTGGATTGCTGCTAACAACTTACTCAAGGCATCTCTTTAAAAGAGAGAGAGAATGGGGAGGGGGAAACCTTGCCTCTGCCCCCCCCTTCTTGTAGGTAGCAAAGAGAAGGTCGTTTGCTTATTTCAATCCGCTCAGATCTAAAAACAAAATCAGTTTTCTTTTGTTCATTGATTCCATGGGGACATCAACTGCTGTTCTGGAAAACAAATAAACCAAAAACCCTTCTCCAAAGAAAGGAAAGGGATGGTGTAATCCTGAACCAGGAGCAGCCCACCAGTGAGGCAAAGTGAAGCCATTTGCCATGGGGGGCAGGTCCAACCCTGTCACCCCAACTGCTGGGCTACTACCAGAGCTCTCCCCCTGCCAGCATCATGGCAGCAGCACAGGTGAGGGTGCAGTTGTGGCAGAGGGAAGGAGGGGGCCCAGATCTGTGGGAATTGGGTGCTGCCTTGGGGGTAGGGGGGCATCAGGCAGCCCCACCATGAGCTGATCTATCTCCACTGCAGACCTTCTAGGTACCAGGGGGGGGGAAGTGCTAAGAGAGGTGGTCTCTTAGCTCCCCATGTCGGCGGGATTGTCAACAGCCTTGGATCTCCTGGGGAATCTATCCTCCAAAGCAGGAGTGCTAACTTGGCCCCGCGACCGTGGGTGCCTGGGGGCGCCATGTAGCGTGCATGGCCCTGGCACTGAAATTTGTGGGTCCTTCCATGGGGAATTTTGTGGGTGCTCAGGCACCCAGGGAATTGCCACCTCTGCTCCCAAGGAGAGGATTTCACTACTAACCACACCCTCTTTCCGAGGTTTTGATTGCCCAAAACCTTGTTCTCTTATAATGGCAATGGCTCCCACCTGAGAGGTGCCCGAACTGAGTTCTGATGAGTTCCAGCTGAAAAAAGCCCTGCTCTTCTTTACTACCCAACAGCACTCTGATTTTTCATATTCAGAGAGCTTCATTGTGGTGATTTAAGGGCAAAGAGTGCCCATACAGCAAATATTCAATACACAATCAGCTTCTCAGCTGTGTGCAAACTCTGCAGTGTCATTTAGGCTTCTCTCTTGCATTATTGCCCTTCCACTCATCTGACCAGTTTGTAAGAGCTAGCCAGGAGGGCTGTTCTCTGCCTCCACTTAGAGGCAGTCACAGTTCTAAATGCCTGTTGCTGGAGACACGTGGCTTTCTGGTAGTACATGTGAAAAGGATCTAGCAGTCTTAGTGGAATCAAGAGTGTGATGCAGCAGCGAAAAAGAGCTAATGCTACTCTGGGCTGCATCAAGGGAATTAATAGGACAGCTCTATTCTGCCTTGGGACATGGGTGGCACTGTGGGTTAAACCACAGAGCCTAGGACTTGCCGATCAGAAGGTTGGCAGTTCGAATCCCCGCAACGGGGTGAGCTCCTGTTGCTCGGTCCCTGCTCCTGCCAACCTAGCAGTTTGAAAGCACCTCAAAGTGCAAGTAGATAAATAGGTACCGCTCTGGTAGGAAGGTAAACGGCGTTTCCGTGCACTGCTCTGGTTGGCCAGAAGCGGCTTAGTCCTGCTGGCCACATGACCCGGAAGCTGTACGCCGGCTCCCTCGGCCAATAAAGTGAGATGAGCGCCATAACCCCAGAGTCGGTCAGGGGTCCCTTCACCTTCACATTCTGCCTTGGTCAAACCACACCTGGAGTCCTGTGTCCAGTTCTGGGAGCCACAGTTTAAGAAGTATATTGACAAGCTGGAAGATGTGCAGAGGAGGAGGACCAGGATTATCAAGGGTCTGGAAACCAAGCCTGATGATTTAATGATTTAATTCTGATTTAACGTCAGGAAGAACTTTCTGGCAGTAAGAGCCATTCGACAGTGGAACGGACTCCCTTGGGAGGTGGTGGACTCTCCTCCCTTGAAGGTTTTTAAGCAGAGGTTGACCAGACATCTGTCATGGATGCTTTAGCTGAGTTGGACATTGCAGGCAGTTGGACTAGATATGTTTTGAGGTCCCTTCCCACTCTGCTATTCTATGATTATAGACCACAGGAGAGGAGGGCTCTGTTCTGCCGTGGTGGGAACAAGATGCTGGACTATGGTGGACCATTGGCGTGATCCAGTAGGCTCTTATGATTGGGCATAGCCCCATTTGGAGGAGGAAGGCGAAAGAAGGGGGAGGGGCTGGAAGGCAACACACAGAGGTAGAGATGGGAGGTTGCCCCTTGGAGTCTCATTGGGGAGTGGGGAGGACTTTGACCAGCCAGAGGGGGGCAGGCTATAGAGGAAGAGCTGGAGCTGAATGCAGAGGGGGCCAAACACTGTCTTGTTGCTGAAAACCAGGTGCCACCTTTAAAGGTAGGATCAGGGCCACCTGTTCAAATGAATGAAGAGCTCTCCCTGACTCTCAGGTAAGAGCCACTGCTGTTGTGTTTCGGGATGGGGAGCCTGAGAACGACTGTGTTTCCGCCCTTGGGGAGAGAAATGCGCAAAGGACCTCGCCTCCTTTCTGACCATTTTGAACTCGGGATTCTTCAGATTGAACTGTGACCTATTGCATGTGACGCAATCCCCCCCCCCCGCCAGAGCCGTGGTCCTCCCCTGACTGCAGACCCCCCAAAGCCTGCTCCCTTTCACACACAAACGCACACAGACTCTTCCCTGCCCGCCCC